AAAAGATATAGAGCACACACTTCCCAAGCTTCCTTCAATAGAACTTTTTCAATAGGACCTGCAACCTCTACCACCATGATTGATAATAGCATCAAAACACAACCACCTGCAACTTCCCCTCCAAGTCATACAACATCCTAGCTTGGAAAAATATCACAGTTCCTTTAGTACCTGGCCTGGAAATCATTTCCTAACAGCAATGTGGTTGTACCCATACTAGGTTAACTACAGCAATTCAAGATGGCAGCTCACAACCACTTTCTTCTAAGGGACATTTAATGACAGGCAACAAAAGCTGACCTTGCCATTGATGCCAACACCTATGGACAAAAAGATCTATTGTATTTTATAAGCAATTTATTTTATGAAACAAATAAGTTTGCCTGATTTATGTCCTTGGGGATGCAGGCTTTATGCTTCGCTGCTTTGCTTGGTGGGAACGTGTGTCTAATCATGGCTATACTTAAACTGCTTAGCTCTGGGATGATTTTAGCTCTCTGCTAGTTGGTTCACCACATTCCTATACACATATATATGTCAAAGGCAAAAATGTCCTAAAACCAAAGCAGGAAGTTGTAGATGGATATCAGGATGAAGTTATTATATACTTGGCTCTGTTATTCTAAAAGCTTATTTCAAAACAACTCCTTAAATGACAATCATCTTTTGTTTGGAAATGTCAATATTCAAAAGAAAAAAAACATTTAGATTCTAACAACAGATAACTCTACTTGCATCTTTCAATGAAGGTTGACTTTTCCATTGAGTACTTCATTTCATGATTTTGTTTCCATGCAAATGAAACTTTGTTCATTGTGACAATCATAAAAAAAGAAATTGCAATTAAAAAGATTCTAACTTGACCAAAACAAGTGCATTTTGGCCACCATCTGAAATTTTCAACTTTTATAAAACAGAACCATTTGTGCATTTTTCAACTCAAGTTAAATTATTTAAAATTAGACCTTCTTCTTTGTGAGATATAGAATGAAAGTATTTGTCTTCCTTTAATTCCTAACCATTTCTTCATCTGCTTTCTTTCTTTCAAACTGACCATATTACTACTTGGGAATGATTCCACATTCCTCCTCCTTGATCAATATTTATGACTGCCTACATTTCATATCATTATGTACTTTGCTATTTTACATACACATGCTAAAAATCAAAATTAACTTTTAGTTGCTTTATCTTGAAAGATTTCAATGGTCAAAAACATTGCATTTGATCAATATTTATGAATAACCAGTACTTTTTTAATTTACATATGTTACTAATTATAAATGTGGGCTGCCTGGCTCAACTAAGCTGTATCATCACTAGGAAGATGTGGCCTTGATTTGATTCTAAGAAGGGACATCTTCATATGCACTTTTATGAAAATGGTTAAGATTTTGTCTGATCTCATTTATTTTGAATAAGCAGCAGTTAAACATATGGAAAACATTTCAGAGTTGCTCCCACCCTGTTGCCAGTCTGTAACAGCCACAATGCAGAAGCAGCTCCGAAATTCAGTACTGCAAGTTCATTCACACTATAAATTTGTGCAGACAGTCCAAATCTGTATTTTGTGTGTTTTACCTGCAAAACTAAAAATGGATTCCTTCTTAAAATTTTGTTCTGAAAATATCTTTCTATTGAGAATAGCGAAGTATGCTATTTTCCACACTTTTTTTTAACAACCTCATCTATAAATACAAAAATGATGTGGTAATATGGCACAGAAATGACAATTTTTAAAGTTTCCTAAGGGTAGTCAGATGGACATAATACGTGAAGAGCCTTTACAAATAGGGGGCTGACTTTAATGGCTGCAATAGTAGCTCCAAACATGGGTCAGAAAGCCAGGTGCAACTCTACCACAGACATTTCTGGAAGTCCAGATTCATTTCAACGCATAGCAGACATCCAGGGGACCATTGAGGAAAGAGAGGAGGGTTTCAAAGGATGGTGACCCTTGCTGTTAGAGGAGTCTTCTTTGGATCCACAAAGCAGCCATTCAGCACGGCTCTCCTCTCCAGGAAGCCCACTGCCTGCTTTAAATGGGCAGTCTCCCTACATGGCTTGTTGCCACCCCACTGCTGGTAAAATAGCTCTTTGTCCCCAGACAGAAACGGCAGACTTTAACTTGCCCCACCCAAGTACAGGTAGGTTGCAAAGAGACAAGGAGGCAACAGAAGAGACATTTGACTTGTCGCCTTTCCTTCTGATTCTCTGGCATTATGCTTCCAGACAATCCGTCAAGGGTGGACTTCAATTCTATCCAATGTTTCTTGGAAAATTATGTCTTCATTACTGTTGTTTCATGCAACATATCAGATAATTGTACAATTGAAAGGAAAAGAGCATACTGAAATAGTTAAAGTTTCAAACAATTACTACTTCTCTGATAACTTGTTGCTTAACAGTTTTTATGGCCTCACCATTCACTGCACCCATCTGTCACTCTAACCTCCTCCAGCCACACAATCCTCCAAGATATCTGCACTTCTCAAATTTTGGCCTCTGGTCCATCTCCAATGTAAACACTCCACCGCTAGCTGTCACGCCTTCAGTTGCTTAGGACTCAGGTTCCACAATTTACTCCTTAAATCTCTCCTTCTTTTAAACTTCTTCCTCCCTTCAAATTTCATGAACAATTTTGTTTTAATGATTTAAGATTGTACTCCATGTGCATGTTGCATTTCTTGCTTCACTCATTAAAATTTAAAAATCTAACCATCAGTCCACCTACTTAATGAAAATAGTTGCTTTGCAATCTTGATGTCCCCACTGTCACTAATGTTGGCGCCCTCCATTAAATTACACTGCACTTCATAGCAGATTGAGGCAGGTTAGTTTCTTGCCACAGAGATTACTAAATCTGTTACCAAATCTCTGTCACCATTGACTGTAAATTATGAGTCAACTTATATAAAAGCAAGATGTTCTTGTGCAAAGTGCCTGCTATTTGGATTTTCTCCTCTAAGAATTTGTAATGCTTCTATACTTTTCTCCAGGAGAACTTCCAAACAACTCAATACTTTATTAATAAATCCTAATACGTATGGGTCAAAAGCATACCACCACCTTAAATAGTAATTCCCAATTCTAAATTGTAAATAATCTCTGTTTTACTCCCAACTAATATTTAACCACGATACCCCAGTGACTGTCTGTTGCTTTGTGGTTTGTTTCAACAAGTTAAGACTTTCTTAGCTTGTGAGTCATCTGAGGTGGAACTTCTGTGACAGGTGATAAACATGCCAGACAAATTCAGCATGTGGGGTCTGCCTGGAGCCCATCTGCTCTGATCACTTGTACTTTTTTTTTCTTCTTTCACTGCTCCTTTTTTCTTACTTTAATCTACTTACCTTCTGTGGAGAGTGAGTTTGTGCAGCAACGGAGGAGATCAAACCAGCATGGGTGGCAAGAGAGGACTCCCAGAATCTGTGGCGATGTCGAGTCAGCTCAGGGAAAGGAGCCACAATGCGGTAGAGGAATCCACCGCGGAGGAGCTTGTAGATCTACCTGCCTGCACTCATCCAAACCTGCCTTCCCCACACCCCAAGCCCCCACTACTCTTGTCACTAATCTGTTTGACTGAAGAGGAATCATCCTCAACCCAAACTTCAGGTCCTCCTCCTCCCTGAACAGTGCAATTTCCCAGGACAAATGTGCCCTCCTCTTCCTTCCCTTGCCTCTCTTGTCCCAGTTAATCTCCCAGCACCAAACTCTGCCTGACTCAAATACTCAACTTCTCCTTCATGCATCCTTGCAAATCAGGAGATGGATTTGTATTCATATTTTGCAGACAAATCAATCAATTGCTTGGACTCCAAGATAGCCAAAATAGTTCTCTTCCCTAGAAATATGTAAATCAGACAGATATATAAACCACGTTTCACAGCTTCCAAAATGCAATTACATCAGTGCATCTTTACCTGCTCTCTAACACCATGTGAAACACTTGGAGACATTTTGATTTGATACTGTATAAAAGCAAGGATTTTATACCATCACATAACTTTGACAGGCAAACTAATCTCCTCGTCCATTGCCCAGTTGTATTCAGTTCAGGCTAACTTGTTTTACAAATATGTCTATTACCAACAGGCATTTTGTAAAATATTTTAAAGCTGTCAACACCATTAGAAATTAAGTTATTTGAACTACCTGCTGATTTGAATTGCAACTACTAAGGCTTGATCGTGCCCTTTAGTATAAAATGTCATTCAACACGTTTTGTGGAATAACATTTTTAATTTTTTTAAACCATTGAGAATGCTTTAAATCTGGAAATCCAGAAAATTCAGGCATATGTTTAATTGCCTGGATTCCTTCTGTTCTCAAACTCTTAAACTCCAACCATAAGCTATGAATAAAAGTCAGATTCGTTTTCCCCAGTAACTCAAATAAAAATGGTAAGTTTATAATATCATTACTTTGAATTTACAGATGTTAAATTCTATGGAAGAGGTGGCCAGAATTAAAACGTTCTACATCCAGGTTACTTTCTAACTTGATGATGGGTAAGATGCAACTTTTTTTTAAAAAAACCAATCTCTTCTGGATTTTTAGTTATCATCAACTCATCTGGCTCATCAAACATTTAACTCCCAAGTCGATTTCTCACTGTAGGTAGTCAACAGATAGCAGCGTAATGGGACTTGGTACATATCCAACTGATGAAAGCCAAACAGTACGGGTTTGTGTCAGACATATTCATTGATCATTTTATGTTAGCCTGTGGATTGGGTCAGGGAAAGGTGTCCAGAATGGGTGGTTACCTGGATGCTTTCCTACCTTCAGATAGGGGCGACCATTTGCAACTCCTCCAATGACCATGTCCGACTGAGCCATTGATCCCGTCGGGGAAAGTCCGAGTCCAACATAACCCCTGGTTTCAACTTCCACCTCGAAGGTGATGACCATGTTCTCATGCTTCCACCTTAAATGGTATTTGCCGTTCTCATCCAGCACGGCGTGGTGACTGAAGGTTAGCCTTCTCCAGGTGCCAGCGGCTGAAGCAGGACTCTCCTTCGATACCAACACCCTGAGCACCGAATACCAGGTCAGCAAAGAGCCCAACCGCATTCTCCCTGCACTGCTTTCAATTTCACAAAGATAAACCTTCTTCTGGTGCTTCTCTCCCCACCTCCCCCGATAGAATGCTTTCGCGCCGCTCAATATTTCTTTAAATTACCAACAGCAGCAGTTGCATCGATAGATGTGAAACTCTTTCTTGTCCGCACACGGGAAGCTCTCGGGCGGATCGATCAGTTTGTCGAAGCTGAGAGAGAGAGCCAGTTCACTGGCTGGCCGTGCGTGCCCGGAATTTGAAAGTATTCTCATGGAAGAAAGTAAATCCGAGTGGAGGCAAAGCCCAACCCAGTGAACCACTTGTCATATGCAGCAGGGTAGACGCGGGCATGTTCACACTACTGACAGGGGGCATTCTAACATAGCAGTTAAATACACTCCCAAATAAGGGGGAAAGTCTGGCAGTTGAATCAATATCTTTAGAGGGAGAAAGACTGGCAATGAAAGAAAAATCGCATCCCCACTGAGGAGGTATGACTTAGAATTACACAGCTATCCTCCCGGTGAAGAACATAGGGAGTTACGGAGATACCTTCCTGTTGTGGTAATGAACTGCCCGTGAGGTAAATACCCACCCACTGTGCAATCAAAACTGGCATTTAATGAAATACCATCGCAGTGAAGGGATGTAACGGATGGTTAAACAAATACCCACCATTTGAAGCTATGTGACCACCAGTTAGTTAGCCTGTCACGGATAAGGTATACAAACAACAATCGCACAGAAGTCAGTTACGTGCGGGAGATTAACTAGAGATGACACTTTAGTAAAATTCCTTCAAACACTCAAATAAGTGCAACCAAGCTGGCAGGAATATAATTGGTTATGTAATTTTTGGCCATCAAATCAATCCAATCCAGGGTCTCATGTTATAAGAGTTGAAATCAGTTTATCATATATTTCAGTCAATCCTAAAAGTTGCAAGATAACTCTAGATTAATTGCTCTAAATGTTTTCTACCTTATTATTAAAGACAAGTTGTTGGTATTGATCATGAGAGTGGTTCAATGGAGTTAAAAATCTTAATAATAATTTATGCCTCTTTTAAAAAGAAAAGATGCTTAGCGCTTGATATTCAGTCCTTTGAACAGCCTTCCCCTCTGGTGACACTGAGCCTATTGCTTACTCCTCATTTTATTCAGAAGTTCCATTGATATTTGGAAAAGCTGACATCTCTCTGCATACAAACAATAACTTCTCTATGCACCAACAGCTGCTGTAAGTATAAATCACCAATTCACTCAATGAAGCCCAATGTCTCCTTTCTCAGGGCTACCACTTCACCAAAACAGCTACCGCCAATAAAGCTCACTAGTCTCGAACACTGAATGGTATTGAAAAGTCATTGGTTATTTATCAGTATCAAAATACATTCAAAAAAGTAGGGGTCAAAGTGCAAGTTACATTTTTGGGTCTTCTCTGCCTCTCTTACTCTATATATATGGCTTCTGTATTCCTTAAGTCTTTGCTCCTCATGATCTCAGGAACTAGTTAAAAGGGTAATAATGTAGTTAATAAGGATTCTTAGTTTATGACATAGCAGTACAGCATTTGTAGCATTTATTCATCAGAATGATATGAAGGCTGAAAGACTTAAATTAAGGCAATAGGTTTTATAGACTTTGAGTGTATTGCCCTTCAGCATAGCAGATTTAACTATTGACTTTTTCTCTTGCTCCTCAGAGGTGAAGATAATAATACTCATCCCCTGTGGTGTCTGGTAGGGTTCCGGTTGGTGCAAAGGTGTCCAAGGTCGATATGCAAGAAGAAGATTCTGCCACAAGTATGTTAGAATACCACATGTATTTGACCTTCACACTTCAAAACGCCCTCTGCTTGCTTGTGAAAGGAGTCTGCACTAGTTTTTGAAAACAAAAAATGCTGGAGATCACAGTGGTCAAGCAGCATCCATGGAGATACACCAAGCTAATGTTTTGAGTCTAGATGACCCTTCATCAGACTCTTCATGGGTGCTGTCTGACCCATTGTGATTTCCACCATTTTTTGTTTTCAATACAGATTCCAGTATATGCAATAATTTGCTCCTGCAGTAGTTTTTATTTGGTTGCAGCAGGTTCAGCATTCATGGATACTAAGGCAATATCAAAACTCCTAAAGTGAAGCCTTGAGAGAGCCCTTGCAGTGCTTCCTTTGGCCACCATGAGAGTGCATCCTGGCTCAAACTCTCAAAGATTCACTTTTACATGTGAGTATCAGCCATCCTGGCTGCATGGCCGGCTGTGACTGTCTCAGTATGTTGTGAATGTTTGCCGTTCTAGCTCAGGTGAGCACTGCAATCTCTGGTATTTTGTTCTGACGTCTGACCTGCATTGCAAGGCAGCTGAAGCAAGAATGGAAGAGCTTCTTGGTATGATGCCGGTACATCAACCAAATTTCACGTGCATAGAGCAGAGTGGACAGGACTACTGCTCCAGAGACTTTCAGCTTGTTAGACAGACTTGTTCTTCTTTATTCTAGACTCATGTTCAACGTCAGTCAAAGGTTTCACTTTTTTTGACAATTCTGGCTTGCTTGCAATTCATCCATGAAGACAGCACGAGAGTGAGGGCTGCCAAGATAAGTGAACTTATCACTGCTGACAGATTCTGATCCTGGACTGAAATCATGAGCTTGAGGAAAGGCTCTCCAGTAAGAGTGGTGTGTTACTCAGTCTTCTTCACGCTGATCATAAAGCAAAACTTGTCAAATGCTATGGAGAACAAGTTCATGCTACGAAGAATGACAAGTTCTGAACTGACAGTCCTTGTCTTGTCACTGGCAAGCAGCAAACTGTATTAGATCAATAAATATGATGTAGAGTTTCATTCTTAGGATGATTTAATTTACTATGGTTGTAAATAAAAACTGTGAGAAAGTCAGAATAAGAAGGCACAAAATTAGAATTAGATTTGATCTACTGATGGTGATGCCAGAAAATGAAAGGGTTCATACAAAGAGTTGTGGAAATCTGGAAACCTCCTTCATGAAAAACAAACTGTTAAGACAAGGTCAATTGAAAATTTCAAAACAGACATTGCTAAATATAATTGTATAATGTATGAAGCGTTACAACTCCATCCACCTGTTTTGGTTTAAAGTTGTCAATCAACCCTAATCTGAATGATAAAATAGACTTGAAGCTGAAGTATCTTTTCTTGTTCCCAAAATAGGAATTTAGCAGAGTGGGTCACAAAGGTAACTAGATTGACATGAATTGTTGGAGGAACTGTAACAAGTTGGAAAGAAAAGTTCAATTTTGAGCATAATTGGAAAGCATTTTCTCATGAAGCTTAGCTTTTCAGCACAGATGTTATTTTTCTGAAGTGAATAGAGTTGAAAGGTTGGTGCAGAATAAAGCACATGCAATTAAAAGGCACTTAAGCTAAGTTTCTACTTGACTGGAGTATAGTTCTTTCAGTGTACATATGGTTTTAATTATGCCAATAGAACTTCACTGGGGATGAGTCCAAAAAATCCAGGACAAATACAACTACAAGTACTCTCAAAAGGAGGGCATCACTAATATATAATGAGAGGTTCAGCTAAACTATAGAGGCAGGCATGCAATATTTAGTGACACAAAAACAAATTGCTGGAAAAAAAATCAGGTCTGGCAGCAGGTATCCTGTGCCCACAAGCAAAAGGGCATGGACAAAATTCACGTATGGGCTGACAGGTAGAAAGTTACATTCAAACCACACAAGTTTTCAAGAGAGTTTCCTTACAGCAGTATGTGTCCAGTCCAACAAGAAAGGATGCATTTTTCAAACTGGTCCTAGGAAGTGGGCCAAGTGGATCAAACATCAAGTGTCAGTGGGGGAACATCTAGGTGACAGTGATTATTGTATTGTAAAGTGGAGAATGACATGCAACAAGTTAGTGTTTAAAAAAAATGGTAGAGAGCTGGCTTCAATGGGGCAAGAACAGAGCTGGGCAGGATTTCTGGAAAATATGGTTAGCAGGAAAAACAATCCCTGAACAATGGGCTACCTTCGAAGAGCAGATGATTTGGGAATTTTCTCTCAAACATGAAAGGTAAGACAAACAAATCCAAAAGTTCCCTGGAATGACAAAGATTGTAGAAATTAATGTTAGAGAAAAGTGTGCTTTTGACCAGTGTAAGCAAAAGATAAAATTGAGAACCAAGAGAAATACTGAATGTTTAGAGGTGAAAAAGCACATAACAGCAAAGATAATTTGAGAAAAGACAAGCAGCTAACATAAAGTTGAATCCCAAAGTCTTCTGTAGGCATATAAAAAGAGTGGCTAAATGTGGTGTAGGATCAATGAGGGGCCAAAAAGGGGATTTACATATGAAGGCAGGCATTGCTGAGGTGTTAAATGAATTCCTCACTATCAACATCCTGGCTGTTACCATTGACTAGAAACTGCACTGGACTAGCCATATAAACACTGTGGCTAAAAGAGATAACAAGGTGTAGCGCTGGATGAACATAGCAGGCCAAGCAGCATCATAGGAGCAGGAAGGCTGATGTTTCGGGCCTAGACCCTTCATCAGAAATGGGGGAGGGGAAGGGGCTTCTGAAATAAATAGGGAGAGAGGGGGAGGCGGATAGAAGATGGATAGAGGAGAAGATAGGTGGAGAGGAAACAGACAGGTCAAAGAGGCGGGGATGGAGCCAGTAAAGGTGAGTGTAGGTGGGGAGTTAGGGAGGGGATAGGTCAGTCCAGGGAGGACGGACAGGTCAAGGGGGCGGGATGAGGTTAGTAGGTTAGAAGCTAGGAACCCTGTGGTGAGTAACTTGTCTCCTGATGAAGGGTCTGATTTCTGATGAAGGGTCTAGGCCCGAAACGTCAGCTTTCCTTCTCCTATGATGCTGCTTGGCCTGCTGTGTTCATCCAGCTCTATACCTTGCTATCTCAGATTCTCCAGCATCTGCAGTTCCTACTATCTCCTGACACTCGAGCCTGTTTGCCATCTACAAGGCACAATTCAAACTGAGTGCAGCTCCATCAACACTCAAGAAACTTAGCACCATCCAAGACAAAGTAATCTACATGAAAAACACCCCATTCATCAGCTTCAACATTTACTACCTCTGCCATACAATGGCAGCATTACATACCACACTAAAAAAAATGCAATATAGCAGCTCACCAGAGCTTCTTTGACAACACCTTCAAAACCTGCAGTCTCTGTCACGGAAAAGAATAGGGGTTGCAGATATATTGCAATTTTACCATATGCAAGTTCCCCTCCAAGCAAAACATCGGCCTGACTACAAACTATATCACTAGTTCCTACACTATTGTTTGAGTCAAAATCCTGCAACCCCCTTCTTAATAGCATTGTGAGTGTACTACACTACATTGACTGGAGCAGTTCAAGAAAGCAACACAACACCTTTTCAAGGACAATAAATGCCAACCTAGTCAGTGACATTCATCCCAAGGATGAAGCAAAAAAGGAGACTGAACCCTGCCCAACACCTTATTATTCCGCAGAAGATGGAGGTTTGAAGTTATCATATAACTGAGCTGATGTAATAATCATATCACCCCTCACATGGGATCTTAACTAATTGTTCTAATAAGAAAACTAGCTAATCAACCTCCTTGCTTAACTAACGTATTTCCTATTGTCTTAACATAGTTAATAAAACATCTCTTTTAACTTCTATGGAGATCACAAAATCTTAATCTATTTGCAGACCTTCACCACACCTTAACTAGAAGGGAAAGAATGAGGTTCTAACATTCTTAGGCAATAGAACTTATATTTCATTTAGTGGAGAACTTTTATTTTATACATACTGAGTTGCATTCCTTTTTGATTATCAGTTTAACTATGCTAAGGATCCTTTCTGGAAAGAAGAAGAAAATATGGAGAAATAAATATATTTGTCCAGCCTGTTGCAAGTGTTGATCTGACATTTACTGAGATGGCACGTTGGACTTATCAGTCATTGCAGAATACATTGAACACAGTGAAAGTAAGTTGTCCTTGATCCTGTGGGATGCTTAAGAAAATAATGTCTTCACTCAGATTTATTATCTGTCTGAGCAATGTAGAACTCTTCTTTCATTTTCATCCTGGCAGCTCACCTGCCCTGGGCACAGTACCAGAATGTTGTTATCACAAACAAGTATGCACACATACATGCAGCCCCTTTTTCACCTCTCATCCTCTCTGAATGAACAGCTGCTGCAACAATTGTTGTTGTTGGCTTTCTTTGCTTTGTTTCCAGACAATAACAATCTATGTCTACGAACATCTGGATAACAGTGATCATTCATTTGATTAATAAATTACTGCTGTTAATTTAACACAGATGTCAGATTCAAAAGGGCTAAATTTGCAAGGCTGAGAGAGAATTTGAAGAAGGTTGATCTGGGGGCACTTCTGAATATAGATTCATACAGCACTGTAAAGGCCCTTTGACCCATCGAGTCTGTACCTACATAACTACCACTAAAATTGCACTACTCCCAATTTTCTGCACTCGTCCCATATCCTTGATGTTATGATATTTGAAGTACTCATCCAAATATTTTTTAAAGTTTGTAAGGTTTCTAGTCTCCATTACCTTCCCAGGCAGTGCATTCCAGATTCCCACCACCGAGTGATTTTTTTCCCCAAATCCCCATTGAATCTCCTGTCGCTCACCCTAAAACCATGCCCTAAAATGACTGACTCCTCAACCAAGGGGAACAGCTGGTCTCTATTCACCCTGTCCATACCCCTCATAATCTTATACACACCAATCATGTACACCCTCAGTCTTTCTGCTCTAAAGAAAACAGTCCAAGCCTATATAGTCTCTCCTTACAACTCAATTTCTCCATTCCAGGCAACATCCTGGTGAGCCTCCTCTGTACCCCGTCCGCTGCTGTGCCAGCCTTCCTGTAATGACGTGACCAGAACTGCACACGGTACTCCTATTGTGACCTGACCAATGTTCTGGACAATTCCAACATTCCCTTCTTGCTCTTACACTCTATGCCATGACTGATGAAAGCAAGTGTCCCATATGCCTTCTTAACTATCTTATTCTCATGTTCTGCTGACTTCAGGGATCTGTGAATAATTACCCCAAGACCCCTCTGTTCCTCTAAGCTACCCAGTGTCCTGCCATTCATTAAATACTCCCTCATCTTGTTTCTTTTTCCAAAATGCATCAAGTCATACTTATCATCACACTTATCAGGATTAAATACCATCTGCCACACCCATCTAAATCTTCCTGTGAACTCCAACTATCTTCTTCACTACTAACCACTCCTACCAATCTAGGTGTTGTCTGCAAACTTGCTTAACATTTCCATCCCTGCCCCAGCCAATTTTCATTTATGTATATAACAAACAACAATGGTCCCAGTGCTGATTCTTATCGTGCACCATTGGACACCAGCCTCCAGTCACTCAAACAGCCTTCTATCACTATTCTTTGTGTCCTATTACTAAGCTAGTTTCTGATCCATCTTGCCAAATTTCCCTCAATTCCGTGTACTTTAATCTTCTCAATCAGTCTCCCACGTGGGACCTTGTCAAAAGCTTTGCTAGAACCCATATAAACTATATCATCTGAACTTCCCTCAGCCACACACTTGATCACATTTTCAAAAAATTCTAACAGATTTTTTAGGCATGACCTTCCTCTGACAAAGCTATGCTGACTATCCCTAATTAACCCATGTCTTTCCAATGGGTATTAATTCGCTCCTTCAGAATTTTCTCCAATAGTTGCCCATTCCCTACCACTGATGTGAGACTCACCAGTCTGTTATTTCCTGGTTCATCTCTACCACACCACCTAAAAAGTGAAACCACATTAGCTGTCCTCCAGTCCTTTGGCACTTCCCCCATAACCAGACAGAAATTAAAAATTTGTGTCAGAGGCACTGCAATTTCCTGCCTCACTTCCCACAGCAGCCTCAAATGCAATTCATCTGGGCCAGGGAATTTGTCTGCTTTTAAGTCTGATGGAGCCGCCAATACCTTCTTATTTCCTATGTCAAGCTGTGCTAGTTCCTCATAGTCTCTTTTCCTGAATTCCATATTTACATTCTCCTTTCTCACAGTGAAGACCGAAGAGAAATATTCATTAAACACCCTTCCAATATCCTGCGGCTTCACATACATGTTGCCCCTTTGGGCCCCATTAGGTTAGCCTCTCTCCCTGGTTAGCCTCTTCCCTTTAGTGTATTTATAAAATATCTTAGGATTCACCCTAATCCTGTTTTCAAGTCCTTTCTCAAGGCCCCGTTTTGCTCTTCTAATTGCTTTCATAAATTTCCTCCTCCATTTCCTGTATTCCTCTAGGGCCGCAGCTGAATTGCTTCTTTTGGACTTGCTAAAAGCCCTACTCTTCTTCTTTATC